CTTTGAATTATTCATTTAAGGTTATACAGCTGTGTTCACCTGATGGTGGAAACGAGGCTAGCAATACACGCAAAAGCACTGCCAATAATCCAGATTCTCTTTCAACCATGGACAAGAATGCAGTGAATATGACCACGGAAAACTCAAAGCTAAAGAAACAGTTGGCCGAGGTTAGCATCAAAATTTCATTTCTACATAGCAGGTAATTTGGTGTTAACAACTGAGTTGAAAACGTAAATTGGCCATCGTAAAGAGTTAAAAGGCTAACGTTTCGAGCGTTAGCCCTTCGCCAGAGCGATTGACGAAGGGCTAACGCTCGAAATGTCAACCTCTTAACTCTTTACGGTGGCCAATTTATGTTTTCAACTCAGTTGTTAACACTAAATTACCTGTTACACTCTCCCACCGACGCAACATCACAGTTTCTTTAGAAACTTACACGCTTTATTAATTTCCGCATAGGTTGTTCCAAATGATATCAGTCTCTAAATAGTATTGAGAAGTTCTGAAGCGAAACGGCTATATCGACTACCACAAATAAGCATCGGAGGGACTGGTTTTGACTGTTTAATTTATGATCAAGCGTTGGTAAATGGTCTTAAATGTTCTTTATGATATGATATGGTTATTATCAAAATGAGTGCATATGCTAATAACTCTCGAAAAAAACCTTTAAATTTGCAAGGGAATAGGAACAAGGATACTTCCATAATAACACTGTAACAGTTGAGGCAAACTGGTGGCATTCTTAAAATTCCATGTGTTCGTTTTCATTTCGTGGGAATAAGCCCAAACCGAAACAGATAAGGTCAACGTTTTCAGGAAAATTTCCGTCGAGCCACCTCCGTTATATAACATACTTAAAATAAAAACATTTTGGTAACAGGTGTGAGTTTGGGGGCCGAAGTAGAGCAGCTGTAACAAGGCTATGAAGTTTGTAGCATCTGTTATTGCTAAAGCGCTTTTCGTTATCATAACCTCAGTGCAACCCACTTGGAGAAAAATTACGTGTGTGCATATGTTTGCAGAGGGAGAATGGTAGCCCTGAACGCTCAAATAGCTCGAGCAGCGGAGCATGCGCACTCTTTTTGCTGCAGCGTTTACTGAAACAGTTTGAATTTATTTTTCTTCCTTTTTTAGCGGGAGCAACACTTTATGGATCTGAAAAGACTTTTAGAGACCGTAGCACCAGACTTAATTGACGATAAAGAGAAGAAATTTAAGAAGAGGCAGTCATTGGTGACATTCAGAAAACCCGAACCGTCCTACACCAATGATAACTACGAGTCCGACGAGCGAATTTCAAGTGACAAGGGCTCAGGAAAGAAGACGACAAACTCTTCTGATAGTGGAGTGAAAATTTAACAGAAAATACGACCGAAGCGTTCAATGAGTTGGTCGAAAAGCTAGAATACACCCAACCAAGAAAAAACATAGCTTGGTTTCCCTGAATAGTTTCCAGCTTTTTATAGAGAGGATAGAAGTAAAAACGCACCGCATACGCTCTGTTTTTTTTCAACATCTGACGGATGATATGTGAATACATTTATGCCACAAGTTATAAAACGAAGACGTATGTTTTCCTTTAGAGGACTGCCTTGCATTATTTATATTATAACCATTCAAATAGATTCCAGAGTCTGATCTGTAACAAATTGCATTCACAATCCTTAGATGTCTTATCCATTGTTGTTTATCCATTCTTATACTCCCCACTTCTTTGAAACCTTTGGCCATAGTTTAATACTAAAGACAACATACTGTTAGCTGAATGTACAATGAGCTATGGCGCGGCATGCCATCGTCATAGCAACGCCACAAATTTTTACCAGAAAAGAGTTGGGGATGGTTATGAAGAGAGACAGTCACCAACACCAATTGATAAATAGAAATCCGGAATAAGTTTTTAATAAGGGAAAGGCTAACATGTTCACACAAAATGTAGTAGCTTTGATGCGATTCGTCGAAACTCTACTGCTACTGCAATTGAAATGTTAGGCACTCAACAAACCCTTCTCCAAAACTTTGTTTGAAAATTTATTGCGTTAATTATTGACCTTCAAATTAATCTACAGCAATATTCACTGCCAAAACTCTGAAAGAAGAAGTTTCGTTCACCCAGTTGCGAAAGCGCTGTTTGAAGAGTGAAAAAAAAACTATAAGCTAAGGCTTGGTGTATAAGTTCTAAAACTTATGCCCATTGGTGAAAATGCTTGTAATAATGATTCTGTTTAGACAGATTTAAATCTTTTGGTGGTTATTCTGCTGCGAGGGTTATTTTTTCCATGATAAATGTTCTCAATTTCACTCACCATTTTGGAAAAGGGTCCGTTCAATAACTACAATAACACATAAATATCTCTACTGACTAGTTTCCTTCGACATTGAAATCTGATCTCTAAAAACGCTCTTAAAACGCAGAGTTTTCTTTAATTTCTCTTCATTTCTAATTGTAAGAGGTTATTGACTCATTCAAATAGCCTCGGAAAGATCTTAGCTTAATTATTATGAACAAAGAAGTACTGAGAAGACACAGCGTCTGTTTCTACTCATCAAATAATAAGCAAGTTAAACAAGTGAAACAAGTTAAACAAGTTAAATCGAAGCTACTAAAGATATTGCGTGATGCGAAAAAGGTTTTGCCTGTTTATCCACATACAACTAGTTTTGCTTACTTTAGAAATTAAATGTGCGATCTGCACCACACAAAGAAGCATTTGAAAAATTTAGATACGCCAAAAGCCTATGCACAGCACTTTGCAAAATTTCATGAACTTATTTCTGAATTGTTCTGGGGCATTGTTGAGCATCCACTTGTGGGGATCAGTTTGTAAATCAAGTTCGAAATTACTGACTTAAGGTTCTCTTCGTGTTATTTTCTTTTCGCCTCATTCAGTTCAACCCATGACGGTTTCTCGGAAGAAAATTAAAAATGTTGAAAGGGAAGTTATGAACAAGAACAACCAGAAAAACATCCTATCCATGATGAGAGCAGCAATGCGCCATTCCTCCCTTTGCCTGTCGTCTTCTTGTCTGGCACGAACATCGTCGGCCAGAATGCTTATGTCCTCGAGGAGCCTCTCAGTGAACGAGCTGTGACCCGCAACGATACTCATACTGCGGGCACTTCGCCTGCTTGGAGTACTTCGACCACTCTGATATATGACGGACATGTCGTCTCGAAACCTGGATGAATTCTCGAGCTCTTGAACTGTCATGTACGTATCGTCGTCGCACACAACATCGCCGTTTAAGTCAAATTCGATTTTTCTTCTTTTGGTTTTGGGTGTAACTTTAATTTCCTCCTCTTTGTCGTTTGGGAAGCAAAACACTTTTGCCATGTAGCCAAGAATGATAACTCGGACCCACTGAGGCATTGGTGAAGTCGACGGACTACGGTGGAAAAAGTTCAAAATGGTACATGTACTGACAAGTGACATTGCAGTGACAAACATTGTGGCGATGAAATACTGACCAAGTAACGGAACATCGTCTGAAGTTGCGGGAAGTGTCTCAGCTACGAGTAACAAGAAAACAGTCATCGCTAACAACACCGTGATTCCCAAACCGACTTTTTCCCCAGATTCTGGCGGTAGAAAGAACTTGATCAGTGTAAGTGTGGAAATCAAAGCGCAGGGTAGGATTAAGTTAAAAACATAATATAGAGGCTTTCTTTTGATGATCAAATTCAGTGTCACATCATGATAGGGATATCGGCAGCAGTTATAATACACTTTATTTAATTTCGCTGGCATTGCAATGAGGTTCCACTCTCCATTTTGTAGGTATAATTTTAAGTCAGCGGATGGCGATTCCGACTCCATTGTCAAGCGGTCACCTTGGAACGTCCATGAGCCAAATTTCAGCGAACAGTTCTGCTTGTCAAATGGGAAGTTAGCCACGTTAATCTTACAAGTGCTTGTAAAAGATGCAGGTGCGTTCCACTCATTTGTTCCATCATCAGACAAAATTACAGCAGTCTTATATTTTTCTAGTCCACCTCCGTTGCTGTCATCAGCGCTGAAGATAAAATTATGTGTACGTAAAGTTACAACCTTTCATCTCAAACATTTTCCCCAAATCGGGATTGCTAATATAAAGGGAAAAGTGTGTCCTTTTAAGAACTAAATTGAAAAACCTTTGATTTGATTCGTAAAATTCAACTACCTAGATCTTTGTTTAGTGGTTGATAGGCCTACATTTCCATAGGAGAACCATGGGCAAACGGTTCAATGTCCAGCTTCGTGGTGTGTATGGTTCGGAATTTTTGGCCATGTGGCAAAGGGAGAAAAAAATCAATAAATAGAAAAACACAGGTTGCATGTTATGAGTATTAAGTTGTAAAGAGCCATAGTTTTCGTGGAACTGAGAACAAAGACTACTCCACATCTTACAATGAATCCTACTTACTTATTATAAAGAATGACGTCAGGTATCCATACTTTGGAAGGGTGCACATTTACTGATTTTATTCCACCATATTTGGATGTGTTCCATCCTAACATTGGATTTATCCATTTCTGGTAGAAAAAATGCACAAACAAAACATATTTAACTTAATATGTCAGTTTTGAATTCAGGCTATTTGGCATATATCTTAATTTTCTCCTTTAAAACTGTCTTTATTTTCTTTCTGTTTTTTTTCTTTGTTTTCTTTGTTTCTTTGTTTCTTTCTCTCTCTTATCCTTTCTTTTTATATTTTTCTCTCTTTTTTTCCGTCCCATAACCATTGCAACCATTTGTCAGGTAACGCTACCAAAATATGTGTTTAATTTTTGGTTATTGTAGTCGACTTGTGACAAGTATGCAGAAGTCTATGAATTTTCAGCGAAAGTCCGGCAATGGTGGGAAGTAAAGTTAAAATCTCCTTCTTAGGATACTTGTTCATCTTCATCCAAGAGACAGTGACAATCTGCTGCATCATTCTAGAGGAACTTCTTGATGTGTAATATTGTGTAGAAAGAGATTTTTTATGGTCATTCTTTAACTGCCGAAAATTTGTGCGGTGAACATGAAGAATTGAAATGACCTGTCTAATCCAGACGTTGAGGGTCAGAAGTTGAGACTTGCTGTTCTGTAGGTAGAAGATTAGACTGATTTTGAATAATAAGTAAATTAAATATTTACGTTTAAGTTCAATTTCACCTGTTTTCCCCTTTAAGAACATGAGGTGTAAATGATCTTTTGGAAGATCTTAGTAATTGTGGTATAAAAGATAATTTATCCTTCGAAATTTAGGAGACAGGATTCATACGAAGGATTGAAAGAAACTTGTACAAAACAAATCTCTCAATTAAATAGATATGGAAACTATTAGGTTACACAAGCGCTTAAGGATATCCTGTCGGCCTTTGATTTCCTATTTATCAAAAGTACCTCTTCGAAAAATTGGTAACCGTTTACATGAAAATGGCGAACTCTTTTCTAAGAGGCCGGAAACAATTCCGGATGACGAGCCTACAAAGTTTTCTCTTGTTCCCCCAACATTCATTGAGCAGTTTATTATGCTGGTAAACCGATAGAAAGTGTAATCTCCTGCTTAAAATAAGTCTTAGGTGGTAAAAGTGGTTCACACGAATTTTCGAGAAAATTCTGAACGCGGAAACAATTAACACGTCCAAACCTGTTAAAAACTGGTAATAAAAGTATTCATTCAGTTCCACTCAAAACTGGCAAAAATGCCGTACACATTTCTAAACCTGTTAAGAACTGGTAAAGTATTCATTCAGTTCCACTTAAAACTGAGAAACATGCCTTATACATTTCTTTCTTTCCTTCAAAACTAGGAAATGGCTGCCGTACAAATTTTTTCCGCGGTATTTTCGTTATAGCACGCTTGTTTGAATTCGTCAGGGTGACAGTGCTTGCAACGTAAACGTTTGGTCTCCTGAATCTTAAAGAGAATTGTACACCGGTTCACTTACCACTGATATAATTTGTATCAAACTCAAACTAAACTTGACGTGTACAGGGCTACTTGTGTTGAAGACTGGTCTCACTTCTTTATCGTAATGTTCGAAAAGATCCCTGAGAAGGCGGAACTCGTGCGTCTCAGCTACAAAAAATCATTTGGAAAATAATTGAAATAGAAGAAGTATCATGAACAACACAACAAAAACAACAACAACAACCGGAATCGTCATCATCTCGTCAACTTAATCATTCTGTGAATAAGCGTTATAAAACGCGAATCGAGAATTGATCTATGGTATCTGTGATTAAGTTTATGATTTTGAACGTGAAATAACTTCAAAGTAGAGCATACCCGTTGCCGATATTCCTCGGCAGCACGTTGCGAAAATGACTGCCGCGTAGAACAAGTATCCAGGTGCTCTTGTACACATTCTCCTACATGTCTCATTCTTCATTAGATTTCATTCCAGGAACGTGTTCCTGTGAAAGAAAATCTTCCTTCAATAAAGATTCGTGCGGAAATGACGCACCTTGGCAAATCTGGTTTACAAATGCGGACGAGTTAATGTCGTCACTTAGCAGACATCTTTATCTTGTTTTTGAAAAATATCCGTAAATATTATAAACGACTAAAAGAATGAAATTATAAATGAAAAAGGCACATGATCTACATCTGTAACAAGAAATGTGATAATTCATAAGAACCCCGATGGAAAATTCCATTTCATTACTGCATCCATCTCAAAGAAGAAAAAAAATTAAGCTTGCTTGTCATCCTTCCGCCTTTTAGATCTCATTGTTTTGGAAAGAGCAAGTAGCAATAATGGCAAACCTACTGGAAACAGTTTAATAGGCTTTTTGTTGTTTTTCATCATTTGACGAGTTCACATTATCAACAAGAGGTAGCTTTTGTTTGCTTCTCTGGTTGCTCTCGAGGGTTTGTATTTGGATGAGTAGAGTAAGTGTGAATTTTGTAACAAACTCTGCACGCTGTGGCAAGCAAAGTCAAGGTTAATCCTGTTTTATCGCGATGTTAAGTGTATCGTCTGGGTTCGTTGTGGCTCAGTGTGGTTAACCAATATAAGTGTTTGGAATCAGACTGAGTATGGCGCTAGGACTTATAAATGAGCCTGAAGAAATAAGACTTAATGGGAGGAGTTTGCCAATAGGATTTTACGTGTGGAACTCGGTTTGGCTTGAAATTAAATTTAGCGAGCTCCCCGTCGATATAACCATAATACTAATTGATGAGAATTTTCGATAGTTTTCAGTTGTTCTCCAATGAATGTGTAACATGAAAATTCACTTTTAAATAGATAAAGTAAAACATTAAGAAAACTCTCAATGATATATCCCAGCTTTGGAAGAAATTTCCAATACAAGTCATTATTTTACAATATATCGATTTAGCTGCGGAATTTCTCAGAATTGCCTGGCCTGCCTTTCAGAGACACATAACTATTGAGGCTGAATATTGTCAGAAACCGCACTTCTAGAAATTCAGTTCATACTTTTAAAAAGTGGTAAAGCACAAAATTTCTTAGGTGACCTAAATTTTCAATAAACATTTTAAACATAATTTTAAGATGCCATTTAAAGTGTCGACAGCAAACTTTTCCTTGAATTGACAACAACAGCTGCTTCGACTGACAAATTATTAACGATTAAGTCCACGCCGGAATGCATTTTGGCATCGATGCAATTTTTCTATTTTTTAAACTGATGTAAAATGCGAAAATTTCATGAAACGGAACGTCCCCAGATTTTGCTCTCACAGGTTACACTTTCTTCCCGACCATAACCATTTCATTTTGTTTCAGTTTTGGGATGGCATATTATGACTGTACTGTGATTGTTAGATAACCACGGGGACTGTAAGATTGAATTTTAATCACTTAATTCGAAAAATTAAAGGCAGAGGCTCATTAAAATAAAAAGACGGAATAATTCTCATGCTTTGTGTCTCAAAAAATTTTGGCGTAGTTCACAACAACTCCTGGTAAAACAATGTACAATTTCCTAAAGACGAAAGAAAAAAACGGCCTATCTTTGACTGCAGTCACAACACTGCGAAGTGTTCGTCTTTCACACGTTTAAATCACGTTTGCTTTTGAAGCAAACAGGTTGAAAATGTTTAAGCTCGTAGGGTATATCGATGGTACTTGTAAATATTAAAATATTCTGTATGAGGTAGGACTTCAGCACAAAACGTATTAAAAAGATGAATTCTCGCAAATTCAAGTGAATCCGCTTCTCTCCTACCGTGCGTTTCAGTAAGTTAAAGATTGTTGGGGTTTCAACATTACCATATATTTTATAGGCACTACTCGCTTTGAGCGCGATTTTGAGCTGCACTCCAACCGAGAGTAGAAATTCGAAAATTTTTGTATACTCTTACCTTGAAAGGGCTCCCATGGATACTCTGTGGCCCAGATGTGTTTTCTTCTTGTTTGACAGAAAACGGAGTCCCGTGCAGGCCGATTGTTCGAAAGCTCTGTTCGATCGTCTAAGACACTCAACTGTAGTGGTTATACAAAGAGAAATTCTCGCTAAAATTTTTTTTCCAATGAAATTCAATTTCACGAGAAACTCAGAAGACAAAGCAGTGGGGATTGTTAAGCGTGAAATTCAAGTGAAATATCCAGAGATGGCTTGGGTCTATCCGTGGGAAGTCTCAAATACACAGGAAAGCCAGTTTACGCATACGCAAATAAACAGGTGGTTTCAAACCGCTGCCATACGATAGGAAAACATGCAAAATTAGATGTAAACAGAACAGCGAGCGCTCACTTTGGAAATATCACCCCTAATTCTTTTGAAAGCTTTGTAATACTTTGCTAGAAAAAATCCTCTTAAAGCGATTTGAATTCCAAGTGTTGATTGCGGGAATTTATTTAGCACAAATTCAGATATCGATAACTCATGTAGAACATTATCTTAGAATATAGTTACTAATCTTTAATTTGCATTTGAACAGTTTTAAAGTTTGAAATCCCATCAAAACACAACTTCCTGTTCGTGGAAATCTTATGTTTTGGAAATTAGCATCTCTCCACAGAAATCATGAAATTCTTTCGCCATAAATTGATAGTGTTTATAAATTTCCCCATGTTTAATTTTCTCAATCCCACCAAATCACATAAAGGACGCCGTTCCGATGGAAATCAATTTAACATGCTTAAACAAGATTGGAAACAAATTACTTCTCATACATGTGAGTTAAACATTTAACTGATGTGGCAGGATTTCGTCGGCTCGTACCAAGAATAACCATATGAAGTGTGCGGAATTGACTCGAAGTTTAAGTTTCGTAGATTTGTTAACACCAAGTTGAATTTCCCTCTGCTTTTTCCAGTTTTATACCTTACGCGCAACCTTATCCAAACTGAAAGTCGAAGAGATATTTAACAAATTCACTGAATGGGAGACGTCGATTCGATAAACTGGTAGGGGCGTTTTGATCGGTAAAATGCTATTTCAAAATTGTATGTAATAAGATTCTGAAAATTTTGTCACGGATAAAATCTTCCGTATTCCTATTTAACCTGTTGGTGTTAACATTTCGGCAAAATTCAAATTGACAAAATTCAACAAGAGTTTTAGGGAGCTTAATGAGACCACTAAATCATGTTTATTTGGGAACAAAGGAAACCGATCCATTTTAACTGGCCAGTCTATTTTCAGTCAAAGGTAATTAGCCCGAGTGTTAGCCTTGGGCAGACCATTGCTTTGTGTTACTCTTCACCGAAGAACATAAAGAGTAAATTCACGCAGGTGCCAGCAAACCGGCAGGTGACGAACTTTTGCCGTCTGTCACATATTTCGTAAGACTATTACACTTGTTAGCTAAGGAATTAGGTAAGGACATTAGACGCTATTATTGTGAAGTAAAAAGGACAGTTTTAAATTACAGCCGTATGGTATTTTGAAAACTACACCGTTTGTTCAACAAAATATCGTGGATTCCAGTCGGTCGAATGCCTGCTTAAGTTGTTGCGAAATCACTTCCGCGAAGTTTTGTCGAGGGCTGTTCTCGAAACGTCAGTATCTTCGCTTGCACAATTCCACAGGATGAAATGGCCAATAAGATGACAAGGTTTTAAGAGTGATGGAAAACAAATTTCAATTATTTATGTCGTATTGTACGTGTATTACCAGCGTGTGATGAATTTGAGGTTACAGTGCTAATAAGAAGACTGGTAATTAATTCAAGCTACTCTAACATAGAATAGACTCAACTGATTTTATGAAAGAGAAGGAGGATGAGTAAAGAGAGAATCCTTCAAATATCTCAAAATCAACTCTTCTCGTATTATTTGTTTCAAAAGAAACGTGTTGGCCGGGGAAGAGTTCTAAACTGCAGTTTCACAAAGTAATAAAGTGTTTGATGATGATCAAATAGCTCAAAATTAAGTCACCATTTGTAAATAATGCCTAAAAAATCATACAGTAAATGAATACGTATTTACGTAGAAGTTATTCAGCCGATTTGTTATCTTATTTGAGCGAACACCGTTGAATAAACGATCAAGAAATGAAACGCGTGGATGTTTAAACAGTCCTATTTCTTTGAGCATGGACCTGCAAACAAAATCAACAATAAATGGATATGTGTCTTGGACTGTAACATTGTTGGAACAGGGTTCGTCAAAATGAAGTTTCTATTTTTCCCCATTTTTGTAATTGTTTGCGTCGAATTTTCCGAAGAAAGTATACCTGAAGGTAAGAATTACGTCCTGAAATTTTGTTCAGCTCTCTCAACGAATATTAATAAAAAAATCTAATATTTTAAACATAGATTACTGAGACGAAAAATCCTTTTTAATTCCTCTTACTTCCTCCGCTGAACATAAATTTCTCTTCAGCGAACTACAATAAAAAGTCCTGGGTTGAGAATGAGTCTAGAGTATAATTTTAAATTGAATACGGAACCAAGTAACTCTAAATGACACAACTGATCATCAGCCGGCAATTAAAATTTAAAGCAAATTCAGTAAAGATACTAGATCACCATCAGACTTAAAGGACCACAAAGCAGTAGGTTAAGCGAGAGATTAAATCAAAATGAAGGCGAATTTGTCCGGTTCTAAGATTAATTAATTTGAGATATAAGTTTTGTTATATTCTAGGGTTTTGGGAAGTCAGATGTTCACCAGTACATCATTTATTGACTTGTTCTTTCCATACAAAAACAATCGATGTATTAGTTTCAAATTGGGCTCACTACTTTGACATATCTACAAATTTTAAAATAATTAGCAGCAGCTCTTTTATTTCCAAGTATCAGAGCGAATGGATCGAAACAAGATTCTTGAGGAAATCAAATCTAAGTAAATATGAACATATATTACAGTCTAAGTCTCATACAATGAGTATAATGGAGAAAGGATGGTAAGGATGGTAAAAATCTCGCGCTACAGGCAATTAAGGTTTCTTTAGAAGTTTTTAATGTCACAGCACGTTATCTCTCCGCCAAGTTTCAACACTTTTCCCTGGTTAGGGGCGACAGAAAGAAGCTTTTCTATTCCCTGTAGACGATATAATTTGATTTTAACAACTGATTTATTTATATGATATGGTTATTGTAAATAGCTTCTAAAGCAGAGAATTGGAGGGTTAACTCTTTAACTCTAACAAAAGTTAATGCCTACCTACGATAGCCAATTTACATCATCAACTCAGTTGACAGAACTAAATAATGTTGTAATATCACCCACGCGCGTAGCATCACTGTTTTTCTAGAAACTTGCTCTCTTTATTCTTTTAAACAATAGATTGGCCCATGCAGATTTCATAAGAGAGGAAGTCAAAGAGAGTTCCCACTTTCCTTTTGGTTTTGTGGTTGCGTCTCTTATAAGCCCCTGATGAATTATTGATATTAATAACAATCTCGCTAACATCAATATTAAAATTACTATCATCATTATCTAACGAACGGTTCTTCAAAAGACTTGGTGCAAAAAGAGGGTTGCGCAAATATTTCCATGCAACAGTATCTCTAGTTTTCAATCTCTATTCACAATTAGAATATGAGTTCGAGATTCTATCGAGTGATAATTGGCGTGAGGAAAGCTCAAATCGTCTATCACGCACAGAAATAGAGGGGGAATGAACTAATCGTGTTAATATAATCTTCTAGTAGTTCGAAATTCCACAACGAGGCAGGCTCATAATTTCTTTTCATTTTGCATACTAACACACTATGATTGCTTCTTTTAATCTTCCACCGTTATAGATAAGATACAAATAGAAAACTCCGAGCTGCTATCAGGAAATAATGAAAAGATTCAAAAAAAAAGAGAGAAGCTGAGTGAATATAAAGACTTAAGAATGTTTCATTGTTTCTTTTTTTTATGTAAGACAACAAGGGATTGGACGGTTTGTACCAAGGTGACATACTACTCAACAAACAGCAGGAAGACGACTTGCGAACCTCAAAAGCAAGGGGCGCGGGTCTGCACCTTTGGCCAGGTGGCGTGGTTCCATACGTCATATCCCATGAACTTGGTAAGTATAACGGTCTTGACAGAAAAGTAGAGATGGTAAGTTTTGAGCTCGGTGAAGAATTAAGAAAGATGTTTTTTCGTCTTGTCACGAGCGTGGGATAAAGAAAAATTCCGAGTCCCCATGAAGAATCGAACTTCAGACCTTCGGATTTGCGCTCCGATGCTCTACCACTGAGCCACAAAGACTCTTCGGTGAGCGAGGTCTATTACAAAGTTCTAATGACACGCGTCCCGCTTACTGCTAGGATCAACAATGTCGATAGCGTAATGTTTTTGACAGAAAGGTAGAGATAGTAACGGTCTTTTCCCTTATTTACTGTAAGACTGTTTTCAGCTTATGAGTGATTTTCTAAAGTTTCTATTTATTATCATGATAATTTCTTTTTCTAACCAAAAACGAAAGTTTAGCTTGAGTAAAATTTCACAAAATAAGAGAAAAAATTCATAATAACAATAATAATAATAATACTAATAATAATAGTAGTAATAATAATGATGATAATAATAAAATTATGAGTAATAATAATAATAATAGAAAGAGGATAACAAGACACTTTCTTTCAATCAGTGAACTTATGAATAGAATTAGTCCAAAAGTGACCTGTATTTGTTTTGTTAGCAGTGTTTTATTTATTCTAATTCCTCTATTGCAGCGAGAAGTGAAGTTTTGGTTCGAACGCTAAAGAACATAATGACAGAATGGGAAGTGCAAACTTGCATTAAGTTTAAAACGAAGACTGTAGAGAAAGCTTACATCCGCTTCATATACGGAAAAGGGTAAACTTGATGCAGTCAGTTTATAGTTATGTCAAAGGATTTGGCAAGTGAAAAAAAGAAAAAAAATATATATAGATTGATAAATGAAAAAGCAAACAAAAGGAGGAAAGAAAGATGTCAGACCATGCGATTTGAAAACATTCAAGCATAAAAATAGGTAAAAAAGTTATTAGGAACATGGCATAAAAAAACTGAGTCCCAAATGAGAATCTGTCTTCGAACAGCTGCGATGATATTGGATTCTCCAACAGCTGATCTGAAAAGGGCTTGTTTAATTTGTTAGCTAGAAGACCAGTTTCATATATTACAAGCGTCCTTGATACTGCTCGGATAAGCAATGGATATGATATTTCATACTTAAGTACATTATGAACCCATTGGATATCTTCGTAGATGTTACTCATACGTGGGTTGTCAGGGCAACGAGCAGACAGTTAGTCTTGGTCCAAACTGCTGGGCATTAGGAACTTTGCGGCATGAATTAGGTAAGGTAATGTGAACAAAGCAAAGATCACAGATATCTCGAGACCATGGGCATAATTCTACGGTAAACAATAGTTTGTTGGTATGTATTCCAGTCACAGAAAGTTACAAATTATAAATTTCCTCTGGGTCATTTCTGCCTACAAAGCTGTCCCTTTCCGATAACAGAAGTTAACCATAGCGGTTGACGTAAGCGCAAATGATCAAGAGAGGGGCTTATCATAAGTGGAGGCAAACATGCAGAAGTGACAAAAAAAGCTACTGAAAGAAAAAAAAAATTGTTTTAAGATTAGGCTAGTTGATCTTGTCCTTGACCTAAAAAACCATTAGAAAATTCTCCTAGCCACGCTAAAGACGAACACCACGAATCATTTTTTTTTTCCATTTTCATATTTGAAGGCTGTAAATAAGTACGTATCAATGTTGATATAATTTTCCAAAATTCTCTCTCTAGTTTTGTCGATATGATATATGAGATATGTCGTGTTTTACTCCTATAAGGACACGCGCTTGGGTTCTTTCATGAGCAAGCGCGCCCTGATCGAGATATGTACATCAACATTGAAAAGGATAATATCCAAGCAGGTACGATACATGCATTTCCTCTCTTTAAACCTCCCTGTATTTCTTTTTTTCGAGCAGTCCATGTAACCTTGGACTATTTAAAGCGAAATTACCTTAACCTTCTGTGTATCACTCTCCTGCGCTTCCCTATTAAAACTAATGAGAATTAAATAGTGTCTATGTTTGCGCCAAATTCAAGTTACCATCGACGTGGAATTTCAATTAAGTGTCGAAAGTTATCCAGAATTGCTTTGATTTTACCTATCATTGCTCTTTGATTATTTCAGAATTCTCGCGCCATCCTCGCAGCTAACCAGATACAAAACTTAAAACAATTGCGACTTGTTATTCGCGTTTTCCCATGCTTCAAGCAGTGTGCTTGTTTTTGCAATGAGTCCTCATTTGCCAGTGGTAATTTAAACCTTTTCTTTCTGATTGATCCTCAAGATTTCTTTGGTTTGGCTTTTCGACACTCAATAGAAAGTGTAGAAAACTTTCCACTCTGCTTCCGGGTCATCTAGTTAAGGTAGCCTCATATCTTTGTACTTCATGTGAACAATTCAGGTGTCTTATTTATTATTCAAATTTGCATGCCTACGGATGAGCTTAACTGTTGAGTCAAACCTTGCGTTGATCACAGTGATCACTGAGGGGTCAATTGAGTGATAGCTTTTACAGTTAGGAGTTAAAATTTTTGGCCATTTTGTGGCTAACCGTTAACCCAAAATGACACATTCTAAAGAGAAGAAATTTTTATGGTTAAATTTTCTTAAGACAAACAACTAAATTTTTTTAGTTTTACGACTAAGGACTAAATTTTCTGCATGGCCGTCTTACGGCTAGCGGTTAACCCCATTGACAACATGTTACTTAATAAAATGTCTCAAGATTGTGGAGAAAACATGGGAAAGCTTTTAATACAAAAGCAAGTCTTCATTTTTAATTCAGTGTTCAACCTTTTAATTTTCTTGTTGAATTTTGAGTTACATTTGAGTGATACGATAATCACGACTGAGCTGCGGTCTGTACCCAGCGTTGCAAAAAAAGCAAAGAATTAACCGATATGATGGAAAATCTTCGCCCACACGGACTATGCGCTATGTGATCATTGTTTCTCCTGGTTCTTGCGACTGTTTCCTTTTTAGGAAAGGAATCGAACTTTGACAAGTTGACGCCCGCTCTGCAGCAGTCTTGGATGCCCTTTGGCACTCCATATGACTACTTTTCCATCATGCATTTCTCTCCGTTCGCATTCACAAAAGACAAAAAGCCAACAATTACTGCCAAAGACAACAGGGTGAGTCAGAATTTTGCAGTAGACATAGGAAAATTGTTGTCCCTTTTAACCTTAAGTCGACGAATATCTAAAGAAATTGCAATGCATATTTATCATATTTGAATCTAATATGGGCCAACTTACCACAGAGCTCTAAAAAGCTCATTGGTAGAGCATCGGAGCGCGGAATCCGAAGGTCTGAGGTTCCACTTAGATTTTTTTCCTTTTTCATACGTTCGAGACAGAAAAAAAATATGTTTTCTTTCCACAAGCTAAGCAGGTTGGTTTATCATTATGATCAAACTATTTCCAGCCTACTTGATATATTACAGTTGATTTGTATATTGACTTTGCATACATTTAGGTATCTCTCCGTTACCTTGGTCAGCGGGATTTCATCAGTTACTTGGACCTGCAGCAAATGAATTTAATGTACAACTGCCCGGGAAGTAAGTTAGCAACGTTAGCGAAACATACTTCTTCTAGTTCTATACACTATTTTAATGCCTCCGTGATCATTGTAGGAAAACAGGTGCTTCAGCTTCCCATCAACAAATGAGTAAGAGGGTAAAACATTCAGCATATTTAGCAGTTAGGCGTAATGGACGGAGGTAATAGTCGATAATAGATAGATATATAGAGTAAGCTTGTGCGAATAGGCAACCGCAAAAACGAACTTGTTAAGTACATTTACCTATTTATCCTGTAATTTGCAGATGCTGTCGGCTACTTGGACACAATTTGCGAAAATTATAGCCGACAAATTATTTGCTATGGCGGAAGAAAAATCAGGATCACTTACGCCAACTACGGAAGGAAGTATTCATCAAAATGTGGATTTAGTTTCAACAGGAACTGCATCAGCCCCACTTCACTTAAAAAGGTCAGTATCTTTGTCGAATTAGATAAAAGGGAAAAAAAGATAAAACTTCAAGACAAGCGGAACTGTCTGGAAAGCGAGCAACGCGTTAACCCTCCAGTTTTGAAAATGAATTTTTTTGTATGTTCTGTTATCGAATATTTGAGATAAAGATCACCAGCCGCTGAAGATCCTTTATAATAGGAGTGTTTTTTTCTGAAGAGTCACCAATTAGTTATGTTTACTAAATTTACATTTCTGTTTTAATGCCTGCCTATCTTCCCACCGCACCCATACCTTCAGTTCTCTTCCTTTCACATTCTCTCCCACAATTAAATATTCTAATCAAAAGTTTTTCCCTTCCTGGCACTACCTATCATCAAGGCTTAGTGAAAATTTTGTCCTAACACGCTCCTCTTCACAGGTCAGTCAGACATGTAACGGTCGATCATCGTGCCTCCTCAAAGCATCAGACAAGGAATTTGGTGATCCATGTCCCTTCACTAAAAAGTACCTGGCTATTCGATACGAGTGTCATCCTTGAGTCATTGAGGACATCAGGTAGAGGTGAGTATTTCCTCGCCCTTTTTACATTTATACCTCTGGGAGAGATCGCAGATGAAAAGGAATACCCGTGAAAAGGCTCCTCATCCCCCAACCCATACTGTTTGACAAGAAAAATTGAATTTAGTACTGAACTGACTTGATATCCTAAACACTCCCCTCCCCCTTCCCTATAGATGAAAAATCCCGACCCTCGCACCATAGCGAAGGTCGGGATTTTTCTAGAATGTGTCAGGTAAACATGTGATACAGGTAGACAACCCTGCGCCACATGACGACATGACTAAGTTAAAGATAACGAACAGATGTCTATCCAGTCATTTAAATGCTATCTGCCTTTACCAGGCGATGAAAGGGTGTGCAACTAACGTGTTGTTTACTGCTTGCAAAGGAATGACGGGGTCAAGTTACCTTCATTCTTAGGCCGTGAAATCTGATCATGTTGCTTTTTTGTTTTTTTAGAGCACTTTTTGGTCGCCGCCCGCGGAGAATTGCACGTGACAGAACGCGGCAACACGTATTTTCGGTTGATCGTGGTAATCATGTAATCATATATGGCTTAAATTTTAAAATGAGTGGGTAAATAAAGTGGTTAACGATACATTTTCGACCCCATTTCTCGTCTCATGTGAAGTTGAATTTATTCTGAAACTGACTCATACATCTCGGACTTTCCATTGTGCTTCTTTTGCGGCTAAAACTATCGACCATGAATCCAAAACCAGCTCAGATTTGGTTTTCAAAACTATCTCGGTGACCCTGAATCAAGCTGAAGTGAAAGTTAAGACACCTTCATACCCTCTCTTTCCCCCGCCTTTTTTCTATGCATTTCCGCGTATCATGTTCCTTAAACGGCCAGAACACTGATGAAAACAGACGCTTTCGAAAAAAGTTTCAAAAATGGTTTATTTTGAAAACGCATCGTTTTCAGAACACTCCGTTTCAAGTGTGACAGGTGAAAACGGAGACCATTAAAAAGGGTTACGAAAAATAATGGAAAAATGGATTATTTTACTATCGACTCCATCAGCGTTCTCGGGCGTTTTCGTGCGATTGATTAGTGAAAATGCATCAAAAGAAAGGCGTTTTCATTTCAAGAAGACTGAAAGTACAAAATTTTATTTACCTAAAAAACTTTATTTTCCACTTTTGCTCCTTGGAAAGAAAGACTATTACATATCATAAAATTACTAAAAAATTCGTTTGTAGTCTCTTTGGTGTGCTATATCTTAATAACATATATCTTTAGGCTCGAATTTTTAATATACTCTGACCAATAATCTTTATCAATTTTCGAAAGCATTTGGCTGATGGAAGACCTAGCTAAATTGGATTACATGACAAGACATGTTTCTACTTCCAGAATCCAAGCAAAGGTCTGAGAGATTTAATTAATGGTAAAAATATCCCGCTGGTTTTATGTTGAGCCTATGCCGCCCATTTATAAATTAGATAATACAAATTTCGCCTGAGTTCGTTTTTCTTGTACCTAAAAATAAAAAAAATATATAAGTTATATTTTGTTTGATCGCTATTTTTGGTCATTCAACTTACAAGTAAGCTGACTCGCTATCTTATGTTCCCACACAGGAAAATTAAAAATAAAGCAAATATCTCGGAAAAGACAGTTCATACTGTAACTCTGCCTATTTTAAAATGTTAACCAAGCAAAATCAGAGTGCACGCAAAAGCTAGTTACGACAACTGTTGATGTGCCTCGGAACGGTTCTTACACTATTGCTTTCATGAATCATAAACTTTACCTTTTATCCTGCAATACCACAGAAACAAATATTCCTGTTTTACAATTTTGTGATGTGTTCTGGCGATTAAAGGTTAAACCTGTTACAGTAATGATCATTGAAGGCAGAGGTGAATTAAACTGTGAAAGCAAAATTGAATTTCAAACATCCTATTGAAAAAAGTCATCAATTCTAGACATAAAGTTTAACAGCGTTCCTCCTAGCAATATTCGCTAGTTACTCTGGCTTGCTTGTTGGTATCAAGATACATCTTTTGTGTCCAAATCGACCACTTGAAAGCAGTCAACCACAGATTTCCGACAGTATTTGTAGAATAATTCCTCTGCTCTCATGAGGATAATGTTCAAGTCCATTTTCATTGATAAACTGCCAAGAAAAAAGAGAAATTAACAAAGGAAATAATAAAATGTTCAAATTATACGACAACAGTGACATCTTAGATGTATCTAACCAGTAAACATGTAAAGCAATCATCAGGATCAAGAAACTGAACATCCATCATCAGTTCACTATAGAATGCTAACATATGTGTCAATCTTACAAAACTCTAATTTTACAGCAGTTACAACTACTAATCAAGGCCAATAACAACCCTTAACAACTAAGATTAGTTAATATTGAAAGAGGTTTCCTTTCCGAGATTGCTGAGTTTTCTAAGAATGATTGTTCATAACGAAAGAAATATCTGCTTCGGGAGGAAAGAGAAAGGAAAAGAGCGTCTGTGTTTACCGCAGCTCAACAGATACAGCATGCCCCTGCGCTGTACCTCTCTAAGGGAAACTGTTCTTTTTTCTTTTTCATAACAGAGTTAGTTTGAGACACCAAAGAAGCTTAGTTGCCGCGGAGTTCCATGAAGATAAGGCAACGTCAATGTCAAACCCCGTTCAACCGTTGCATTGTGAATCCTAAAAACGCCTAAGAGAGACTAGCATCTAATTTCTCCTTACAATATCGACCCTGAACCACAAATGGAAGTCACGAGAATAACAAATATGATCACCAACTAAATAGGCTCTTAATCGTAAATCAATTATCCTTGTCAACACCTTAGAAAATGTATGGAAAATAGTACGGAGTACAGACATATCGATGCTAGGGTGTGGTGGGTGAAGAATACACCCTCTGAATTTGCAAGTCATTTAATCATACCCCGTATAGCTCAAGTTAGGAATATACACTGTGGGTTCGTATTAAATGCAGTACACGTACAAAAAAAAAAAAACAATCATCTCTCTCACCTGTGAATGGTGTTGTACACGGATGAAACCTCTGAACACCTCAATAAACTTTTTCTGTATTCCTCCAAAACAGCTAGACATACAAATACCTCAAACGAATAGTTTGTCATTTCCACAACCTGCGCATGAAATTCACCTCCTGTAGTAAGAACATAAAAAGTTAATGAGAGCAGCAGACTCAGAGACGAATAACTAATAGACGAATAAATTCTCAGAAACTGATTTTGAGACGTCTATATAGCCTATGGCAGGCCCTCGTCAACAGCGCTTCAGCGCGAGTGTTTCCTCGCCCGTAAGGAAGTATGGGACCTTGAGCAACGCGAGCCGCTGAAAGAAACGCACGTCCTGCAGCGCTACTAAATGATAAGAGTATACTCACAGGCTCAGGTTGACGGAAAACAAAAATGATATTAAGATGGCCTTAAAGCGCCACAATTCGTTGTTCTAAAAGTTTAAGTGTAGTTATAAAGTAAAAACCGAGAGTCGGGTAACGCTGAAAGAGGTATTTGTTAAGCTACATGTATGCCGCTGGTTCCCCTTAATCGTCCAGAAAGCATCAATAACCGCTTCACAAGTCAGATCCAAAACTACGACAAATAATGACTCGGTACTAAGAATTGTTCATAAAATTCCCAAATTTTTCACCAAGTAATATCTTTCCCCCCTTCGCGCATCTAGACTTGAATTTTTGAAGATCTTTCCAATCACTTTGTAATGTTACTAATGACAATAGCTGACATGAACTAACCATCTATCTCTAATTGTTTAGCTCTCTGTCTCTCTCGCTCTCTTTCAGCCTCCATTGATGTCAATTCAAGGTGCTGACTGCTGATTATTTCAAACATTGTCAACGCGTCTTCGAATGAGAACTCTCTTTTAAAAGTCAAAACAAGCCACCTGGAGAAATAAAAAAAAAAAACAGCATCCATTTTTATTTGCACAAATGAAATTTTTGACTATGCACAACGCTTGTCTCACTTGAGTCTGGTACATGTATATGGCTTCAGTTGCTAACAAGTTCTACAGTTTAGTGCTAGAGCATCGTGGCGTAAATTCCAAAACTCAGAGGTTCAAGGCAAGTCACAGTCCGTCTTTTATTTTTTTTGGTATCGTTATTATTTATTGTCATTATTCTTACTTTATTTTGTCTCAAGCTCGAGACGAACGAACCATTTTTTTTAATACCTTCCTGGTTGTCTACATCAAAAGGGATGACTAGTCTGGTGACATAATCATAATTATTCTCTAATAGATAGCTAAAAGATACATGAATACACACTTTACATGTACCTGTGAACAAATAGCAGATCTTCCATTCCGTTTGCTTTAAAATGATTAAAAAGCTGCTCGTCCATTTTCTTTAGTAGTAATCTGACATGTGCTGGTGATAATAAACAAACAAATAAAGAAAAAAAAATAAGGAAACGAAAAAAAAGCACAAAATAATAAACAAAATTAAAACTAAAAAAACATAAGCAAAAGAAAACGTAAAGTAAAGCTAGGAAAAGCGAAAAAAAAAAAAATTTTCTTGCAAAAATCATTTTGTTGTACATTTTTGATGCGCGTCTGCGTAGCTGTCATACATTGTAGTTCTAGATTTTCTTTCTTTTCCACGCTATATTTAGCCAAAAGATATAAATAAATAAAAACAACAAGAAAACCAAAAAACAAAGAAAAACGTTAAATCCAACATGCATGGACATAAACAACAATGACTTAGGATTACAAACTTACTTATTTTGTCTAGCATTCCATCATCTAGAAAGTCTCTCTTGACAGTTTCCATATAATTAGTGAAACACCAATAAGCCTGTGCTTCTGATCCCAGCACAATTAAAAATCTACTTAAAACATCATTCATTCCTTGAACATATCCTACATCTGGGGAAGAAAAAAAGAGAAAAGAATTTTGACCCAAAATAAGAAAAGAAGAGCGTTTGTGAATGATCATGCTGTTCCAGAACCTTGTATTTTAGTTGGGGAGGCATTGGAGAAGAGGTTGAATTGAAACTCAATGGGATACAGGTATCTTCAGAATCATCTCTACCTTCTTAGGTATAACCAAGTCCTTTAACAAGAAGTCATGGTATTCTCGGATAAAAATCTCAAACTTTTGACTTAAAAACTAGAGAAGTTGTTGTATTTC